ATCAAGTCTTCTTCCCCCTACAAGGTTTTTTCCTACTTTTTTTTCTTCTTTTTACCTGCCTTATTTAATACATCCGTAAGGAGAGGGTGGTAGCGCCCACCTTCTAGGGTTTTTTTTGGTGGGGGGGTGAGGGAGGACGATGGAATTATGTGTAAACAAGTACCTGGCACGTGGTTGGCAGATACTGTTTATGGGTTGGAGCAGACGCAGGAAACGTGGTCTGGCGAGTTTGGCTATAAACTGGGAAGGAAGCCAGGGTGTTGGGTGGCTGAGGGTGGAGTTGGAGAGAACTGCAAGGCAGGAAAGAGTGTTGGAGGGGTGGCTACTAAAATGGAATTCCCAATCAGGTTGCAGGAAGGGTTGCTTGTGGAGCAAATGTGGCTTACAGAGGGGTAGGAAGGGGAGGATGGGCCAGAAGAAAAGCTATAAAAGCAAAATAGTGCCCTCCCGCCGGGTACTTCTCATTCCATCATCAAAGTTGACAGAATCTCATTTGCTAGGCCCAAGAATCATAACCACAGTCCTTGTTCCCATGAAGCACACTTTGCCACAGGGGCCCTGGGGTAAGGTGGAGGAAGCATGATCCTTGATTATAGGACAAGTTTGGGCTGCAGGCTTAGAGGGGTGGAAGTAAACAGGCCCTGGGGTGGGCCTGTAGTTGTGCTAGATGCTGGCTCAGGAGCTGGTGGGGCCAAGTCTTGCCAGCCTCTGAGCTCAAGCTCCTCACACCTGCATTTCTCACCCTTCCATTTCTGCTTCTTACCCTTCAGCAGACGCAGAGATGCAGATCTTCGTGAAGACCCTGACGGGCAAGACCATCACCCTCGAGGTTGAGCCCAGTGACACCATTGAGAATGTCAAAGCCAAAATCCAAGACAAGGAGGGTGAGTTGGGCTGAGTCCAGAGGCTATCCCGTGGGAGTCCCCAGCCCAGAGGAGCCATTGTCATGTGCAAGATGGGTTGTCTAGACCTCAGCCTTGGCTAGGACTTGTCCTGTGTGAGCTTGGGAAGGCAGCTTGTTCTCTTTATCTTAGTTTCCCTTTTGACAGATTGGGGGTAATGCCAGAGCAGCCCTGTGGAGAACAGAGAAGCTGCCAATAAAATGCTTGCCAGAACCTCAGTAACTGAGCTTTCTTTTCTCCAGGCATCCCCCCTGACCAGCAGCGTCTGATTTTTGCGGGCAAACAGCTGGAAGATGGCCGCACTCTGTCAGATTACAATATCCAGAAAGGTACTAAGGGTAGGGTGGCTGGACAGGGCCCAGGAGGTCTAGGACCCAGGATCAAGCTTTGATGGCCTCTTTGGCAAAACTGGGGGGTAGGGGAGGGCGGTGGCTCTCTTAAGGTGAGGATCAGATGGGGCTGATGAATTTTACTTTTATGAAATAGTTTTCATTGGATGCAAGATCTTTTTTTTAAGATTCTATTTATTTATTTGACAGACAGAGATCACAGGTAGGCAGAGAGAGAGGAGGAAGCAGGCTCTCTGCCGAGCAGAGAGCCCGATGCGGGGCTCGATCCCAGGACCCTGGGATCATGACCTGAGCCGAAGGCAGAGGCTTTAACCCACTGAGCCACCCAGGCGCCCCTGGATGCAAGATCTTAACTCCACTTCATTTTCCAGGTGGCAGTGGTTTCTCATGTTCTTGCTTACTTTTTTTTTTTTTTTTTTTAAAGACTGTTTTGTTTAAAAATGCAATAAAATGGTATCTGGCTGGCACAGTCTGTAAAGCTTGGGGCTCTTGATCTCAGGGTTGTGAGTTCAAGCCCCGTGTTCGGTGTAAACATTACTTAAAAATCTTAGGGATGTCTGGGTGCCTCAGTCAGTTGAGAGTCTGCCTTCAGCTTGGGTCACGATCCCAGAGTCCTGGGATCGAGTCTCCCATCAGGCACCTTGCTTAGTGGGGAGGCTGCTTCTCCTCTGCCTGCCCTCTTTTTTTGGTTGTTCGGTTTTTGAGGGGTAGGTTGTTTGTTTGTTTGCTTGTTAAGTTTATTTGGGGGTACTTGAGTGGCTCAGAAGGTTAAGCAACCCGACTCTTTTATTTTTTTATTTTTTTTTATTTGACAGAGATCACAAGGAGGCAGAGAGGCAGGCAGAGAGAGAGGGGGAAGCAGGCCCCCTGCTGAGCAGAGAACCCGATGTGGGGCTCGATCCCAGGACCCTGGGATCATGACCCGAGCCGAAGGCAGAGGCTTAACCCACTGAGCCACCCAGGCGCCCCATAAGCAACGGACTCTTGATGTCAGCTGGGGTCATGAGCTCAGGGTCCTAGGATCCAGCCCTGAATCAGGCTCAGCGGGGAATCTGTTTGAGGTTCCTCTCTTTCCTCTGTCCTTTCCCCTGCTCGTGCTCTCTCTCTAAAATATTTTTTTTAAGATTATTTATTTGTCAGAGAGAGAGAGTGCACAAGCAGGCAGAGTGGCAGGCAGAGGCAGAGAGAGAAGCAGGCTCCCCGCTGAGCAAGGAGCCTGATGTGGGACTCGAACCCCGGACTCTGAGATCATGACCCGAGTCCAAGGCAGCTGCTTAACCAACTGAGCCACCCAGGTGTCCCTAAAAAAAAAATTTTTTTTTAAAGAAAGATTTTAGGGCAGGTAATCTTAGGATTGGAATCAAGTCCAGCATCGGGCTCCTTGCTTGGTGGGAAGTCTGCTTCTCTCTCTGCCTGCTGCTCCCCCTGCTTGTGCTCATGTATGCATGCGCATGCGTGCTATCTCTTTCTCTGACAAACTCTTTTTTAAAAAAGAAGTAAATTTTTAAAAAATTATTAGGAGTCACATGCTCTACTGACTAAGCCAGCCAGGCACCCCCTTGATATTCCTTCTTTTTTTTTTTTTTTTTTTTTTTAAGATTTTATTTATTTGTCAGAGAGAGAGAGCATAGGCAGTCAGAGTGGCAGGCAGAGGCAGAGGGAGAAGCAGGCTCCCTGCAGAGCAAGGAGCTGGATGTGGGACTTGATTCCAAGATGCTGGGATCATGACCTGAGCCTAAGGCAGCCGCTTCACTGACTGAGCCACCCAGGCGTCCCTTGATGTCCCTTTTTTTAGCAATTAGATTTAATTATTTTGCTCAGCAAAGTGAAAGATCATCTTTGCACCACTTAGAAGTAGCCTTGTTTGTCAGGAAACCCCGATGCACACTATAGTTGGCACGTGTTAGCCTCAGACTCCCCAAGGGCTAGTGGGAAGCAAGATGGAGGTTCTGTGGGCTGGTCCTTGCCAGTGTGTCCATCTGTGTGTAGAATACCCCATCACATTTGAGGAGCTCTGGTCTGGGGGACCCTACGCTGTACCTGAGGTGCTGGGGCCAGGCTCAGTCACTGTCTCTTTTGAACCCACCCGTAGAATCCACCCTGCACTTGGTGCTCCGCCTCCGGGGTGGCATCATCGAGCCTTCGCTCCGCCAGCTGGCCCAGAAATACAACTGCGACAAGATGATCTGCCGCAAGTGTGTACCCTGGGGGGAGGGGTGGCCCTGGGGAGGAGGGCGTCGGGTTGGGCTGTGGCCTCACCACTCCCTCGTCTTGTGCAGGTGTTATGCTCGCCTGCACCCCCGTGCTGTCAACTGCCGCAAGAAGAAGTGCGGCCACACCAACAACCTGCGCCCCAAAAAGAAGGTCAAATAAGGCCTCTCCACCGGCTCTTCCTTTCCCCCAAGGCGGCCTCCTGCCCGAGCCCCAAGGTCCTGGGGCCTCAATAAAGTTTCCCTTTCATTGACTGGAGCAGTAACTGGTGTCTGCGTGGCTGGTCTGTCCAACGGGGAGCTGGTTGAGTCGTGGGCCTCTGCCTTGGGGACTCCTTGCCACTTGATTGTGCATAGCCCTTGAGCGTCCTGTGTCCTTCCGTTCTGGTCATCTCACTTGTATAATGCGCTGTGGTCTCACCCTCTGCCACATAGCCTGATTAGCCTGCACATCTGGGTTTTGTCATCTCTAAATGGGACTAACCCCCAGCTCAGGCTCTCAAGGGACTGCAGGTCAGCCATGTCACTGGCTGGGCCCTCCGTAGGCACTTTGATGACGTTCATGCCTGTGCCCTGGAGGTGTTGTGGTGTGGGTAGGTAGACAAACACCCCACCTTGTGTAAGACCTCTGTTCTCTGCTGAACCTGAGGAGCACCTGCGCCCTACCTGACGCCTGTGACATCTTGGTGGGGTGGGCCTAGGTGATTCTAAAGTTTGTGCTGATGCTCTTGAGAATCTGGTGAGCTTTGTAGTTCCCGGACTGGCCCTGGTGAGGCCAGCCTTTTATTCATCTCAGGGTGACTTGGACTTGGTGTCAGATGAGAACCCAGGACGGTCATACTGTAGTACTCCTGACACCTGGTGTGCCTGCTGAAGGCTGGTGTCTCAGTTTTTCCACAGGTCTCCCTGTCAGCTGCCCTCTGCCCCCCAGGGTAGGCTGCCAACATCTTTCTGGTCTATTCCCACGTTTAGCCCTGGAGAAAGAAGCTTCCCAAAGCTCAGATTACAGTGTACCCCCAGCAGAAGGCTCCGAGGCCTGCCTTGCACTTAAAATGAGACCTTGTTGGCCTTGCGCCTACCCCAGACTCTGGGCCTTTGCACAGGCCCTCTTCAAGTCATTTCTGAGGAAGGTATATAGTACCTACCAAATTTGTTAAGCAGCTGGATTACCGCCTTTTGGGCTCTACAGTATCAGAACCACTTCAAATCCAGTCACGGCCATGTTACCATGGAAGACAAAATGTCACTTCTGGGGTTTTGTTTTCTTTATTGGAGTGGGGACAGGATGTGAGGTTGACATGAAGTCGATGTTGGGATAAATGCATACAAGCTGAGGTTTGCCCTTGCTTTACATTCGAGGGCAAACACGATGGAAAGAAATGCTCGCGCTCGATGGGAACAAGCAGGAGGATGGGTCAGGCCTAAGACGGCGGTCTTTGCTGTAGGTCTTCAGGTTTCCGTTTTGGCTGGCCACCTGCTTGGGGTCGGAAGACCTCCAGGCCTGCAGGGGGCGCCTGGCGCAACGGAGCGCCCTGGTCCTGGGCGGGGCCGGGGCTGCGCAGTCATGATCACTGCCGAGGCCTCGGCGGACTCCGCTGTCCCGTCGGTGCCCGGTGCTGCGGTGGCTACCGGTGTCCCGGAGCGCGAGGAGCCAGCGTGGCCCTGGGTGAGCCCGGACTCAAGCAGGAACAGGCGCGGGGTGGGAGGTACAGGCTTGTGGGGGCCGGCTTCATGCCCCAGCCATGCCCCCTGCTCCGTAGAAAGATGCCCCGATCCGGACGCTGGTGCAGCGCATCCACCAGTTGCAAGCTGAGCGCGCGCAGGCCTTCCGCCGGCTGGAGGAGTAAGTGCGGGCGCAGGGGCGGGCAGGGGTCGCAGAGTGCAGCCCCCGACCGGCTCCGGGGATGGGCGTGCGCGGGGATGGAGCTGGATCCCCCAGCGTCTGCGTTGTCAGAGGTGGGGCGGGATTCGCTGGGGGACCAGATCTCTGCTTTCCTCCTCTGGAACTCAGGGCGGGGCCCCACTGTCTGGTGGACCACTGCGCGTGGCGTCTCTCCCTTCCCCAAGCGCAGGAGTGGGCCCATCTCCGGTTACCCTGCGGGAGTCAGAGAGCGTCCTCCACACTCTGGGGTCCAGGGACACTTGCTGGGGGCTTGCAGGTGGCCAGTGCGAGTGCAGGGCCTGGAGAGCCTGAGGGCGTAGCCTCAGGACCCCCACCTGCCGCAGAGGCCACCTCCAGTACCAGCGAAGCGGTCCGCCCTACGACTTCCCGCGCTACCGGAGCACGGTGCACGAGGTGACCCAGGCCTTCGCCGCCGCCTCGCGGGAGGTGCTGGCGGTGGAGGCCGAGCTGGCCGGGCCCAGAGGGCAGCCGCTGCTCGCGAGCCATGTGCGCAGCCTGCAACAGCTGGAGCAGACGCGCCTGGCCACGGTGAGGCCCCACCCCCAGCCCCGGTCCCCTGCACAGCGCCTGGTCTCTCACGGCCCACTGTGCGCCTCCGGCGCCCCAGACCCTACTTCTTTCTTTCCCACCTCAAAAACTCCACTAAGGTTTCACTTGGGATTCTCTGGCCCTGATCTCTCCAGTCCTTCTCCGGGTCATTCAAGTTTTGTTTAGTCCCAGGACGTGTCCACTTCATCTCAGCCCCTCCCGCAGCCCCCGCGTTTTGCCGGGAGGCCCAGTGCCCGCCCCCACTCCGCTCCTACCCCTTTGGCTGTCCCCATTGCTTCCGTTCTGGTTCTCAGCCCCCTGAAGTTTGGAGAGAGTGAATTTCCATGGCACACCCGATCTTGAGTAACCGTGTATCCCAGCCTAGGTTCTGGGCCTGCCCCAATGCCCCGCCTACTCTGCCCCTACAGCCAATCCTGGCCGACACACACTGTTCCCAGACCAAACCCACGTGAGGCCACGCCCACATCGCCCTCCAAACTGGGATTTCCAGACCACGCTGCTTTAGGAGACCCCAATCCCAGTCTAGGTGTTCGGCCTACTTCCACCCTGCCTTATCCTGAGCAGACGAACGCCTACTCCACCCCTGCCCCCAATTCCTGGCCGAGCCTTCTCCGCTCTTCCCATGCCACGCCTTCCTGCGACCACACCCACGGGGCAGCACCCACACACTCTAGGGCCTGCCCACTGGGTCCTCCTCGGCAGCCCCTTTGAATCCAAGACTCCTCCCGTGCAAAGCATCGCCCCTTGAGACTCCGGGTCATAGCTCCCTTTCTGGGCGCTTCTGTGTCTCCCTTCCGAATCTGTGTGGGAGGGCCAGGGGAGGACCTCTGCCAGATATGATGCCCTCCCTGTTGCCCATACCAGGTGGCTCTGCTGCAGCTGATGGGGGCACCAGAGCTGTCTGAGCAGGAGAACACTCTGGAGATGCGCCAGCTGAAGATGAAGTGAGCACTCCCTCCCAGTGGGCTGGTGGTCGTAGCTTTGTACATGTACCTTTAGGTACCCGTTCCTAGCTAGGGGTGTCCCCGAGCTGGCACAGTCATACTGGCTTGACCCTCTGGACCTGCACGCAGCCCTCAGGGTATGCACACCAGAGTCTGGGGGTACCAGACATACACACACATTGCCCCCAGGACCCTCACCCTGCAATTTCACACCAGACTCACTGTGCATTTCCGGGACACATTTGAGCCCCTCACACATGCCAGTCCCACTCCCATGGCTGGACTTAGAGCTTGGACATGGTTGCCTAGGCCCACGAAGCACAGGCTGCACATTCCTGCCCCCAGCCCTGCTCCAGCATGCACAAGTGCACTCCCACTTGCTATTTGCTCTGTGACACAACACAACCTTCGGATGGCACCCACCCAAGATGGCTTTTTCTCTCTGCCCACTCTCACCCACAGACCACCCCTCCTCCCCGGCATCCAAATGGTTCTCTTGGCCACTGGTGCTGCCTGGAACTTAGGCGGCAGGCAGGAGGGCCTGGGGCTTGCCACAGCCCCCTAGGAGCTGTGCAGTGGCGGCTAATTTGCTCCATCTGGGTTTTATTTATAGTTCCCATCCACTCTTGTAGGGTAATTAAAACCATGGAAGCGATCAGCGAGGTTCTTCAGGACCTTAGATTTGATGCAGAATCTGTCGAGTGATGGAGGCTCCCCAGGGACACGCCGAGGGATACAGAAAATGGGGTGAATGGCACCCAGCCCACCCCTGGACTGTCAGCTCACTGGGGGTCACACGCCACCGGGTTGCTGACCACCCTTGAGTTTGCTGTGACTCCCACAATAAAGGACCTTTCATTTCCAGCTGCTCCACTGTCTCTGTGTCCTGGGGTGCTGGGATGGGTGTCCCTGGGGAGGAGGCCCCACAAAGCCAGGGATGCCAGGTGAGAGACCCCCCACCCCCCACTCCCAGTAGAAATGACATTTTGAATCACACCCTCCAATGAGTTTAAAACCAGATCTTTCACATCCTGGAGAGTCTGAAATTCTGGGACCCAAAGATTCCAATGTCATAGGGCCATTAGGATTCCTCATGCTTCCCCTGAACACCACAGCCCCTACCCTGGGCCAGTCCAGCCCCAAACAGCTTCACAATCAGGGCACCTAAACAGCTTGTTTATTTAAAAAGACTTTGGATGGGGTGGGGGGAGCAGTGACCCCTCTTCACCCCCAGCCCTGGGAGGGGTTCTGGGCAGCTTAGCCAACCCTCATACACACACCCACTGGAGTTGCACCCAAGAGTGGCCTCACGTGGAGACCAAAGATGTTGTTACCCTCAGAATATCCACCCCAGCTCCTGCCGAGGGTGCTTGGGTGCCCTGAGGCGAGGGTACAGAGTTAGCCCCCAGTCTGGGTGCGGCCCCCGGGTCTCCATGCAGCAGGGAGGGTGGCCCCAGTCCCTAGAGCTTATCTGGCAGGACCTGCAGGCAGAGGGGAAGCCAAGCTAAGCAGGGAGTATAGGAGGGGCCAGTACCACAGAGCAATCTAGGAAGCCCCAGTTCAGGTCCTGGCCCCGTCACTTTCAGCTTGGGGACCTCGGGTAGGGTACTGCCCCCTCTCAGGGCCTCAGTTTCCCCCATTTGAGAAGTAGGAATAATTGTCCCAAGGGGTACCCTGTGGGTAAAGCTCTTGGCGCAGAGTGAGCACGCAGTAGGCGCTCATAAGTGCTAACTGGGGCGAATATGTTCATTCCTGAGGATTATATTCCACTTTGGACATTTTCGGGTGACAGATGCTTTTACTAGGCTGAAGGCCACAGGACCAGGGATCACTGGGTGGTTAGGTAAACGCTGATAAATAGGAGAAGGAGGAAGGGATTCCATCTCAGCAACTCTAAGGCTGGGGCGGGGGGCACGGCCTGTGGCCACTAGGAGGGGCCCTTGTCTCCCTCCCTGCCCACCCACCCAGTGGGGGTGGGCTCCCCTTACCTCTCGTCGTGCCCCGTCTGCCCGAGGGCAGGATCCCCTCGTCCTGTGCTTGGAAGGAAGGAGGCAGTGTCTGGGGGCTGCGGACCTCCCCCCGCCCCCAATCCGATTCCCTCTCTGCTCCCACCACTCCATCCCTCGCCCGCCGGTCCCTCCTTCCTACCTGGTTGCGGGTCTTGTGTGTCTTCTGCATCCAGGCTCGCCACTGGTCGTAGAGGCGGAAGCTCAGGTTCGAGCAGTAGGCGTGCTTCTTGAGCCAGCCCAGGAACTGCTTGAGCTCGCGCCGCACCGGCCCCGAGCTCGGCTCGCCGCCCCTCGGCTCGCACGCCCCGCCGCCCGGGCCCGGGCGCTCTGATGGGGGAAGCGGCAGCGTCACGGCGCGCCCGCCAGAGGGCGCGCGAGGGCAGGAGAGGGAGGTTCCGCGGCTCCGCGGACCATGTTTCCCTTGGGCACCTCCCTCCCGGGTGTCTCCGCGGGATCGGGTCCCCTCCACCGCCCAGCACAGCAGCCCAGCTGAGCCCAGGAGGAGGTGGAGGCAGGGGAAGGAGGGGGCACTTCCCCCCGTCTCCTGCAGGAACCTGATTCCCATGGTCTGAACCAGGTGTGAGTGAAAGGGAGGGGAAGAAGGAGAGGAGCCAGGGCTAGAGGGATGAGACCCCGACACAGAGCAAGGGACTGAGAAAGGGCGCCACTAGTGAGGAAGAGCTTGAGAGAGAGAGAGGGAGAGAGAGAGAGATGAAAAGATGGATACAAGGTGAGACAGGGAGCTGTGGGGAGGGCCAAAGCAACAGGGGACAGCCAAGGAGATGCAGAGGGACAGAAAAGGGAGAGGTCGAGAGAGGGCTGCAGCAGGCAGAGACAGAGACCATGTGTGTGTAGGGACACAGAAACCCAAAAAGGCAAAAATACAGAGAGATACAGGGAAAGAGAATGACAGAGGGATGAAGGGAGACAGAGGAGGGGGGGTGTGAGCCGTGAGGCAGTCCCCAGGACAGGCCTGAGAGCGCGAGCCAGTGGGGTGGGGAGTGGGCTGGGAGGGCCAGGTGGGAGGCCGGCCTGTCTGTCCAGCTGCAGGCCGCAGCCAGCCCCTAGCAGGCCGGCAGATAAGGACATCGGCCTCACGTCATAAATAACGCCGGGAACCCGCTGACAGGCCCTGGCACGGCCACGGCCCCCACCGCCCCTGCTGGCCTCCCCCGGCCTCCCCAGCCTCTCCAGCGGACGCAGCCGCCTACTGGCTCGCGTGCAAGAATCGCAGGTGCTGGGCACGAGCAGGGGCCAAGGCGCAGGCCCCTCCCGGCCGCGCTAAATCCCGCCCACCCCCAGAACCTGGAGGGGCCCAGGATGGGGGCTGGGGAACTGGCTGGGAGCCTGGCTCTGCCCCTCCCTGGCTTTGGGATCCTCTCTGGGCCTCAGTTTCCCCATCAACCCACGAGCATGGGCCTGGACTTCCAGGAAACTGAATTCAGATCCCTGTGTGGCCCTGGGGGCTTGGCTGAACATCCTAGGGGCTTGGTGTCCTCACCTGAGAAAAGGGATTCCCTTGGGGTGAAATCATGGGGGAGCAAGAGCTGGGAGGCTCAGTAACTACTACCTGCAAACACTTAGAAGGCACCCACCGTGAGTGAACTTTCTTGGGTTGTCTCATCTACCCCTAACAATAGCCTGATGCGGGTATGATTATTATACCCACTTTCCAGATGGAAAAGCTGAGGTCAGATATTTCAATTAATGTATTTCATAACATTTCACAAAGGAGAGAATGGAGGATCATGGGCTTAGAGAAATCCCAGAAGGGAAGGGGTTCAATCAGACCCAGGCTCCTGGTTGTCCCCACTCCCGTACTTGGATTGAAGGGGAACCCAAGGGGCACCTGGGTGGCTCAGTGGGTTAAGCCTCGGCCTTCGGCTCAGGTCGTGATCCCAGGGTCCTGGGATTGAGCCCCGCATTGGGCTCTCTGCTCAGCAGGGAGCCTGCTTCCCTTCTCTCTCTCTGCCTGCCTCTCTGCCTACTTGTGATCTGTCTGTCAAATAAATAAAAATTTTTTTAAAAAGAAAAAGAAAAAAAAAAGAAGGGGAACCCAAGACCCATTAGAGGGAGAGTTGGCAGCTGCTCAGCCACAGAGGGAGAGGTCTCAAACTCACTTGCCTTTAGGGGCTAGGGAGGGGATACAGGTGGGTAAAATGGGCCAGGTGGGAAACTGGAAAATGAGACCCCTGAATGAGGAGGGCTGATAGGGGCTGTGGACACACTCCAGCTGTGTCCTGTTACATTTTCTTGCTTAAAGATTCTATTTTTAGGGATGCCTGGGTATCTCAGTGGGTTAAGAGTCTGCCTTTAGCTGAAGTCATGATCCCAGGGCCCTAGGATAGAGGCTGGCATCGGGCTCCCTGCCCAGGGGGGAGTCTGTTCCTGCCTCTCCCTCTGGCCTCCCCTCCCAATTCGTGATCTCTCTGTCTCTCACTCTCGCTCTCAAATAAATAAAATCTTTAAAAAAAAAAAAGTTACATTTTTAAGCACTCTCTACACCGAACGTGGGGCTCGAACTCACAACCCCGAGATGAAGAGTCGCGTGCTCTTCCGACTGAGCCAGCCAGGTGCACCAATACTTTCTAGATAATTCAATTTTCTAGGAAACGGAGGATATTTGTGTGAAAACTTCCTGATTTTGAATATCTGCAAGTCGGTCAGACTTTTTTTTTTTCTTTTTCCAAATAACAGGTCAAAGAAAATGGACCTAAGGGCCACCAGTTTGAGACCCCTGCTCCCTCAGAGGAAACAAAGAAACAGAGGCTTTGGCTGCTTTGGGATGGGTCTCCCCACCCGGAGCTATGGGGGTGCTCACCACTACGAGGGGTGGAGGCGGCCGTGGGGTGGCTCCACTCACTCCAGATCCCTGCCTTCTTGGAGCCGTAGATCCCGAAGGGATTGCAACGCACCTGCACGAAGTAGACTGTGCCTGGCTTCAGGCCGGCCAGGCGGCACGAGGTCTGGTTGCTGACATCGTCCACCACCTGGTGGCCATGGCAGGGTCAGAGGCCAGAGGTGGGGGTGGGGGGTAGGGGAAGCGCGGGGTGGGGTGGGGACCAGGGGAGAGGGGGGGTCGATTGTCAGGCACCTTCCAATCCACGCTGTCCTCCACTCGGTAGCGGATTTGGTACTTGGCTTGGAAGAGGAAGTCCTTGAGGGCCGGTGGGGAAACCCAGCGCACACTCAGCTGGTCCTCCAGGCCCCCGACACGGCTCACGTGCACATCGGGTGGGGGATCGGTGGTCACTGTGAGACAGAGCAGGGCAAGGCTTAATCAGCCAGCCGTCCTTGGACATGGTCATCCCCCACCTGGGTTCAGATCTCAGAGCACATGGCTTGTCGGGGGCACCTGCCTCCGTCCTGCCGTCTCTTCCCTCCCTGCTTCCAGACGGGTGGATTACATTAGATAATATTTGGGAAACACTCAGCACCTAGAAGCATTCAATTAATGTTAGCTGTTATCACCATTATTATCTATGACAGGAGAAATATAATCCTATCTTCGGGGAACTACAGAAAAGCAGACACTGCCTGGCTGATGACATTGTTCTTATTATGCCCAGGAGCCCAGGGGTCAGCAGGCTGCCAGACCCCTGGGAAGCTCCTCCTGACCCCCCACGGCCCACCTGCACTTCCAGATCCTTCCTACTTTGCAGAGGTTTTCAATATGACAGCCTTGCTGGTGCAGAGGGGAAACTGAGGCTCAGAACCTGCTCACTGCAGCTTCAGGGCTTGAGGAAGCAAAGCAGGAAGCACACTGAGGTGGGGGGCGACTACCAGCCTTATGGGGATCCTTCTGGGAGCTCTGTGGGCAGCACGGAGGTCTGGCCTCTCCCCCTGAGGCCTT